ACAGCTAAACAGCCAGAGCGATGTGTGTATGTATGTACATGTGTATGTAGTATGTATGTGTGTGTGTGTGTATGGTGTGTGCATGTGTGTGTGTATGTATGTATGTATGTGTGTATGTATGTACGGAGTGCATGCTACATGCATACACACAGTCTGTTTAAACATTTTGTGGAGGTGCGCTGCTGTTCTTCAAGATCCACAGAGTCTCGAGGACCTGTCAAGTGTCGGAGGTCTCTTTCGTCCCATGCAGCGGTCGGCGGCATCGAAGCTTGACAAGCCGTTAAATCGAAGGAGCGGGCATAAGGCACCCGATCGCCTTAGCTGCCTTCCAGGGCGTTTGGCATTTTGACGTTTGGCACAATCGGCCTCCTCCTCGGCCGTGGCCACTGTACTTGCGTAGACTCCGTAGCATCTGCCAGTGTCCAGAGAAACTCGACCCTTGCAAGCGGCGACCAAATCATACGAATCGACGAGTAAGAATGCTTGTAGCTGATGGCCGTGGCTTCAGGCAACTGATGTGTTTGGCTCCGTAGGTTGGTGCAAGCTAGCAAAAGAGCCCTTCACAAAGTTCCTAGCAGCACCTCCTCTGTGCCGAGACCTCTCTGCTGGCATTATGGTTATATGGGTTGTATAGATATGGAGAACTATAACAGATAGGAGGAGGAGGAGGAGAAGGAGGAAGAAGAAGAAAAGGAAGAAGGGTGATGACGAAGAGGAAATGGCGTGCAGAGTGCAGAGCACATACATACAGAGCTCGACCGGGCCTTTTTGGAGAAACAAAGTCGAAGGTGTTTTTGGATGGGCCCAGGTTTGGGTTTGGTGGGCTCAGCGTCCAAATCGACTGGTGAGTATTTTTTCTTTCCCCTCTCCACCTTCATGGCAACTCTGACCAGATTTCGCAAACACAACCACGCCGACGTTAGCGTTAGCGCAGTGCGGATGCCTCCCCCGGTTCTCCCGAACGCCTAGGGGACTTGGCTTTTCCTTTCTTCTCTCACAGGGCAGTATGAGACCAGATGACATCTGCGGCTAGATGGGACCTGGTTGATGTGTCGTGCACCTCTGGTGTGGCTCCTGGGACGCCCCCGGCAGCTGTGCCAATCGAAGCTCAAGCACGAAGTACGGAGTATGATTCGGTCAATACTACCAGTACTCCGTACTCCGTACCAGTACTCTACAATCCTGTGGCCTGCCCTGCCTCCCTGCCTGTCAGATCTCGGCCGAGGGGCGAGGAGTTGCTGGATGGTGATCCGACGTATTATTATGGCAAGCAGGCCCGCATTTGCTTCTCCAACTATCGCAAGAGCCTCGACGCTCTCATCCCAAAGGATGCTGTCGGCTTGCCTAGTCCAACTTATGCTGGTACGGATGCAGCTCAGCTTCCGGCGTCATGTTAGGCGCGAGATGGCAATATGTTGGGATTGCACGTAGCTAATTGTACCTCCAGATCGAATGTGGTGGACGGCGGAGTACTTGGGCGAATGGAAACAGAGGCCTCGACTCTAGATTTGCGACGAGACCATCAACACGTTGCGGTACTTCTCGTACAATAGTTTGCTGCAATCGTTCTCGATGGCCCTCTTTCAGACGCCGCCATTTGTCGAAGCAACCTGCGGGTTTGACTGAAGCATCAGAGCAATTCGCTTGTCTCAGCCTTGCGAAAAGACCCCTAAACGCTTGGGACGTGTTTGGAACGCTAGCCAGCAGCTACAGAGTGCATTCCATGCTTTCCCCTCCCGCTGAAGCGAAGCGTCTTGAATTAGCTACCAACAGGAACTCTTTGGATAATATCTGCGTACAGAATACGTATGTATGTGTCGACGAGCGTAGATCTCGGTCAGGCCATGATCTCGCAGGAATGCCCCAAAGGTCCACTCTACACGTTTGACACATCGGCGAGCTTGGAATATGACGGCGGTAGGTTCAACGAGCAAAATGAAATTTAGATTGTCCAGTCGGTACTTTTCGCCATCTCACTGCAAGCGACAGACGAGCTATTGCAAACCTACCTGCCACTATGGGCAACAATCGAGCACCGCCCCATTCTTGCTCTGTCCTGCTTGTCTCCAGACCAGAGCTGCCTTGTGTGGCAACCCTCCATGACATGCAACTGGTGTTGGCCAAGCCTTTCAGTGCTACCCTAAGCAGGGTTAGTCCTCTGGGACCTCGGTGACCCGTTCAACGGCGCTAAGAAGCTAGTACTTGCATGCCGCAAATTAAGACCTGGCCCGAAGACTCAGGTACTGCTGGCCTAGAAACGCGTACCTGGGGGAACTGGGGGAAGGGCCGTTTGTGCCGGGCCAAAGAGGCGAGAACTCACGCCGGAGATGCCCTGGCTCGACTGCGGATCTTCTCTTAAACAGATAACAGACATGAGTCTGTCGATAGCAGCAGCAATATGATTGTTTGCGCAGTACGGTGGTTCGGGACAAAGATCGTCGACAAATCTGTGATGAAGCCATAAAAAGCCCGGCCCGGTGTGGATCATCGACTACTCCCAAGGCGGCTAGGTAGTGATTAAAACGATGCGAGAGATGGCGAGGCCACAGGGTGCTTCCGAGGCGCCGTCGTTAGATGCCGCCAGGATCCATCCAATTGGCAAGCCTTTGACATGGACTCCTGTTTGATCTTGAACAAGACGGCAAGCAGCTTTTCAATCACTCGATTCGCCCGACGCACGGCCTTCAAGCATCTGTTGGGGAAGAGGTGGAACGAGCACAACTTCTGCACCTCTTCACTCATCCCTACATGAATATCACTGCCTGTGACCAAAGTGCGGACAGGTGGTGCCTGTCTCCTACGGGACCTAGAGGCAGTCCCAGTCGGCAAACTGATGGTACTACTACTGTTTAATAACATATGTACGAGAGACGTATCGGGCTATATCGAAGGCTACAGCCGCGGCAACGGTGCAGATTGCGCCGATGTGCCGCTGCCAGATGCAACAGTTCGTTTTGTCGAGCTTGTCGCCGTCGTTCGTCTCCAGCCCCCAACTGTATTCCAGTCCTTTTCTGGCTAGTGGAGGGCTTGTACTTTGTGTTGGCACCGTCTCCCCACTAACCTGAGAGTCAGGGGGGGTGAGGGACTCGCGATGACATGAGAGATTGGCCACCGAGAGACGAGGCATGGAGTCAGTGTGTCAAAAGTTTCTGGGAAACGTTTTCGCAGGCAGCGTGGTACCATCCCTGCCCAGCGTTGCTCGTGCTCGTGCTCGTGCTCGGTACTCATGCTTATGATCATGATCACGGTCATGCAACCAGCTCACGCCCGCCTCGTACTATTACAACATCAATCGCCACGAACGACGACGGAGTACGGAGTGCGCTTAATCTGGATAGAGCGATGCTTCTAACAGGGGTCCGCAACTGCTCATCGGAAGTACCTCAACGGTCCCCACCAAGATACGCCAGGTATTCCTAGGATAGAAGTGAGATATACGGAAGTTCCATGTCTAATGGCAGCTCTGATTGTCAAAATGTGGACGCAGAATGGACCTGCATACCGAACGCAAGATTTAGAAAGACTAGACGCACTAGTCACACTGATTCGGGCTGATTCTTACCGCCGGTCACTTGGCAGGGAACCTCGCAACATGTATTTCATTCCCGGGGGGCCATTTGTTGCTTCATATTAAAAATATCTCTCGCCCCCGCCCAGCAGAGTTCCATCAGAGAGTCAATACTTGCCGCCACTCGCAAGCCTAGTAGACCTGACCAAAGTGAGCTGAGGCACCGACGAGTGAGCAACCAAGCAAGCAACTTATTCACCTGTGACCAGCCTGCGACCCTGTCCTTCATTTTCCCTTTCACTCGCAAATATTGGCCAGCCCATGTACTGGCTCTTGTTTACCCAGGACTATCGCTGATCCGAATTGACTGCCAAGTCTCTACCTTCCCATGGTCCCCCCTTGACAGGGCAAGTCTTCCTAGCACTGATGGAATAGAGAGTGTTCTAGTAGAGAAACTTGGCTGGGAGTGACTGGCTACAGTCTGAGGATTTCGTTTCCACCCTGGTAATCCACGCCACGCCTTCGAAGTCCACAGGTGAGGAAAAGAAACAAAGTCAGCGGACGCTTAATAAGAGACATCCCGCCAATCTTTCTCCTCTGGGCTAGACACCATCAATCCGCCTTCCCTTCTGTCACCCATCAGAAATTTTGGAGCTTGATGCTCCAATAGCTGCATACAACCCTCTCGGCTCGTCCAGGCGTGGTATAAAGGCGACCCGGCAACGCGGAAATAAAAAGAGAAAAGGAAGAAGAGGAAGACGAAACTGTTCTCTTTCAGTCCCTTGTTGTTGTGGGCTGTTCCAAATTCGTGGCAGGTATACGCAATACACTCCCTCCGTTGTACCACAAGCCCTTGGCACCCTTTCTAGACAGCCACACAGCAGACATCCAAACCAGGAACGACTCATTCGGGACGTCCCGGACCTAATTTCATAGGAGCTGGGACTAGTTTTCAACGACTCTTTTACAATCCTTGAATCGTCTGTTTACGGTCGATTGCCTTTACTGCCTTCATAGTTCACCTTTCAGCATAGCGCCAGTCTTCGGCTACGTGCGATTCGGCTTCGAGTATCAAAGAAAGTCATCAATTGTCAACTTGTTTTTTTCCCCCAAGATTTAGGCCGCCTTTCAGAGGATTACAGTTCCGGGCCTGATACAGACAAGTAACCTAGGCGAAATCTCCAGTGTTACAGATCGATTCGACCATCTCAACCACGCTGATTGTGTGGACTCTAATATCCATCGCGAAATCTTTCATGGTTGTTATTGAATCGTGGTGATAGATTACTGTGTATTGATTTTGTAGGGGGTCTGGGCCGTCGACGCTGTTACGGAAGAACCAAACTCTGGATGCTGAATAATGGCCTATGACCTGACGCAATCCTCAGAAGATCAAGTGGGTGCTTGCTCCTTTCCGCTGAATTCTGACCTAGATAGCGGCTTACTTATATCGCAGACTTTGTCACCTCCAAGGGAAAATCAGAAATCAAACATGGGATCACCAGAGAGACCCAGAAGTCCCAGTGCGGTGCTGAAAAGATCCTTTAGCACTCCAGATACGGCACGATTACAGAAACAGGCAGCGGAGGACTCTCAAGGTCAGCAATCGTCTGCCGGTGAGAAGAAACGCAACAAGCTTGGTTATCATAGGACATCTATTGCCTGCAGTATGTCTGATTCCTTGATGGGCTCTGTGCTTCCTCCTGTGCTAATATGGAGTTTGAAGGTCATTGTCGACGAAGAAAAATTCGATGTATTGCGTCGCCAGATGTCCCTAACCGCTGCGTCAACTGCATTCGGTTGAAAAAGGAATGCAGCTTTTACCCTGTTGATCAGCAGCCGGGGACGGACACACGACCCAAGGCGCCGCCGCGGCAAGCGGGTGGCCCAAATGCATCATCTGCATCATCATCTCCTGCTGTTGGCACCGGAAGCCCGGCAGGGACGCCATCATGTATGATGGGAAGTGGCGTCACCTTGTCAGGTTCCCAAGGAGCGACCGCCGACTACTTCTCGTCAGATGCTAGTGGTAAGTGCCCAACTGTTCGTAGAGGATTTCTCACTAATGCGCTTTCTTATGCAGTCTCGCCCAATGGCATGCCTGCCGGCAATCAGTACACTTTTGCAAATCAGCCGACTTCAGGTTGGGTATCAACGGATATGAACTCGGCCAGCGTTTCGAAACCCGAAGACATGGCAATGCCATGGCATGCGTATCCAACAGAGTCGCCCATCAGTGGCCAGTTTTCTCCCTACACGCAGACGTCCTCTGCTTCGATCACTTGGACATCTGGAACCTCAGAGGCTGGGTCGCACGACGACATGGCTTGGGGGGAGTTTCCAACGCCAATGAGGTCGCTATCGTACAGTGGTGAGAGCGGCGGGAGCCATTCGCAAGCCCCCTTCATCCAAATGACTCAAGCACAAGCATACGAACGTCGGCAATCGAATTTTTCCGATGCATATCCGCCCTTTCCAACAACCATGGCCGGAGGCAACCCAATGACCGCCGTCAGCACCCCAACTCAGATGCTACCCGGGGCACCGTTTGTATCTGGTGTAAATCCATGGCAGTCGCAGCAACTTCTCGCAGCTCAAGGCTCAACTCCGGATTGGCAATATGCCACAACAGATGGAAATCAAGCAATGTTGATGGAGGATCAACGAATGGCACCAGGGGTCACACAAGCTCCATCCGGTGTATATTACTCCACCTAGGTTTGATTTGATGGAGTCGACTATGGACTTAAGAGCTACCAAAATGACCTGAAATTAGTGGAATACCTGATTCAATACGGATTCCATGCTCTGCCAGTCATTACCGCGCATCCTGCACACGTTGTTCACAACAGCTGTTTGGGCACATGTGAGCCGACCAATGCAGCCGGTTGCGACAAGATTTTACCCATCAGTCCACAATAAAGGAGATTCAGAGATGAGAAGAACGGTTGAAGACTGGTTGGTCCTTGGGCTGAAATATTGAATCGTTTCCGTCAAGAATCATGTGACGCCTACCAACCGGTCGATCGAAGCTTGCAGCGCTGTGGCGAACTTATTGCACCGTGAATGCATCATGTATGTTCTGGAGAAGGGGGGTTATATGTTTTACGCTTAAGGAACTTTGGAACGAAAAAAAAGTATCTGGTAACAAAAGCAAGAACGATCCAAAGGACAATTTCGCAGGCGAGACTGATAGAATGTGCATTTGGCCTGGACGAGGAGGGATCTAGGCCGGTTGATAATGGCCATCTACTGCTTCATTATTCACGTTTGAACGGCCTCCGAAGTACATATTACATTTCAGGGGAACAAGGAACTAGTCTTTAGAAGTGCTTCGAGTAGAATCATTTGAACGGCGTTGGGTGACTATTCAAAGGATACATGCATATACAATAGTCGCTTGGGGAAAATATACATTGTACCGACAGTTTGCATCTTTCTTTAGACAAAACCTCGACCTCTTCATCCCGAGGCCTCGCACAAATTGAATCGCATTCTTCTCGAAATGAACAACCTTGACTTCAGCGCCAACAAAGCCGAGAGCGAATATCATTATGAAACCAAACGCCAGGTCAACACGAAGAGGGTGATGTATGCCCCTAAACTCAACGCCGTCATGAGCAAAACCGTATCACCACTCGTCTTAAACTTTCTTCGAATGGTACCATCAAAAGACTCAGCAGTGAAGAATTGCCTGTTCCCTTGATACCGTCGATACGCGGCTACAAGCAACACCGCCACGCCATACGCAGCAAATAGAGCACCGATGGCATAAAACTCCTCGGTGAAAATCTTGATGATGACCAGAGCAAAAGAAAATTGCCCCAGGGCAGTGCGCATATAAGCACCTTCAAAGGTGCGCTGTGCTGCGCGAACCTCGACAAGCCTGTGTGTGATTTGAGGATCCCTCAGTCAGTGGTTCGCGGTTCTCTGTCACGGCAGCAGGCCCCCGGGGCGGGATCGCGACTCACTCCTGAGAAGTCAGGACCACGGATCGCGCCCTGTGAAGGCGGAGGTGGAGGTGTTCTTCGGGATGTGGCTGCATGGGGTCGCGGGCAATCAGCCTCAAGATCTGTGACAACATTGGTCCTGCTTACCAGGCCACACTTACATGGAACATGGTTGTGTTGTGCCTGACCTGAGGCTATGCCCGTTCCTGCATGCCTCGTTCTGCGATGAGTTGGCTGGGCAGGGGCGTATATACCATGTGTCGTGGCCGAGGTGCCACAGCAGATTCCAGCGCTGGGCGATGTATCGCGGTCCGGATGGTATAAACAGGTGTCGTTGGCAAATGTCGCCAGCCTATTCCTGGTAGTGCGAGGTTGGCGCAGAGGTTACGTTATGGCGTGAGGAGATGGGTGGCCAATCTAGGCTTAGCGCGTCGCTTTCCAGCCCAGACTGCTATCACCCAAACGTCGTCTGGGTCGTTGACATTCACCACGAGGCCTACTGGCCTCCCGGTGTCTGGTATTTCGGGAGCAAAGGGACGGGAATTCTGGCATTGAGATGGAATCTAGCCGTCCATTCTTATGGGATTCGAGTCCAAGTTTACAAAAATCGGTACCAGTTCAAATCACAACGCCAATGTGTGCCTTGCTGACTGAACGAGGGGCACACCAAACAAACGAGGTGCCTGCCCCTGCCAGTGTAGATTTTTCTTGACAGGTATGCACATAAGTAAAAAGCCAACATTTAACTATCAATTACTTGCTCTCAAAGTGGGAGAGTGCAAGTCATTCCGGCGTGGGCAGTGCAACACAGTGCACAGTGCGCACAGGGCAGGTGGGGTTTTCACTCGCTTCGATTCAGCCGCAACACTATGGGAAGTGTACCATCCACCATCGTCAACCATCTTCTTGTCGTCGTTTGACCTTGGGCCAATGGCGCCAAGCGGAGAATGAGAATTCATGCCGTGGTAGCCAGACCCTGCACGCTGCGGATTGGAACTAGAGAAACTTCCGTCGACTTTACACATCATGTGCCCAAGCTGTCGTCGAGGGGAGACATGTCGACTGCCCGCGGCCCTTGGGCGTGATTATCGGGGCGGATCGCATTTGATCGAACCGGTCTTCCTCGATATGGAAATGGTGCTGTGCGTCGTTGTAGGTTGTCGTATGCAGGTGCTACAGTGAGAGCCAAGCTGACTACGATCGGATATTCAGGCACGGACGAGGGCATGGACTATCAAAGGGTATTTCCGTGATATAGTATGACGGGGGCTTCAAATCGGGATGCCGGCACACTTTAGTCACTCGTCATTGCGGCTTCAACTATCGGGTTGTATGACAGGGAAACGAGCTCAAGCCTCAACCAGCCTAAAAGGTGGCTGACGCTTTTGGATCGACTAGACATATTCTCACGGGTACTACTACTAACTACATGTCAAATAGGCAGAGATGGGGAGGGAACAGCAAGTAGCCTCTCTCCACCCGTTGCTGCTCCTTGTGAGGCGTTCTGACGTTGGGCGAGGCGGATTGTGGCCAAATTCAGCCCCGTGGCAGTGGAAGTGGATCACGACCTTAAAGCCTTGCCAGCTTTTAAGGTTTTAGGGAACAAATAGTAGATGAGACAAGTTGACGGCTGTTTGAGAGGATGGTGGGGACTCGGCCCCAAGGCTGAATTGGCATAATACTGGACAGTGAGTCTCCGTATTAGATGTTGTTCCATTTTGGGTTCTGTCTTGACTCTTCCTCTAGACCATGACAGACGCTAGATAACCGTTGCCCACCATGACCATGTGGTTAAAGGCACATCCCCACCGTGAGGGAGATGAGGGAGAGGCCTGAAGAGGGAGCCCATTGACTGGCTGCCCTAGTGAGCGGATCATTGAAGGCAGGGTGGAAGCTGAATGCTTCGAGTTGACTTCCCCGTCGGGCTTTACACACCCGAGCATCTAAGTAAGCAGACCGAACCCCCTTGTACGGCTTCACAAGACCAGTGTCCTAGTGTCTCTGGGGCCGCAGAGCTGCCATGTCGCGCGCATCGCAGCGCTCTGCAAGAACACACGGGCACCAGTCGACCAGCCAGTCCCGAGCCGTGCTGTGCAAGCGCAGGATTCAGTACAGCGCGCACCTGGACCGTACCAGACATGTGTGTAACTACTGGTGAGGAAGAACGAATAAGGCCATCAATCTCGCCGGCAGACTAGCAGGGACAGGGCATCCGCCACGGTCCCTACCTAGTACGAACGACGAAAAATATAAGCGGCTGCTGGGCTGCTCCGCGCGGTACATTGTACTTAGATGTATGCACACCCATCCATTGTCCGCATGTACCAGCCGCTTCCTACTTCAGCCCTCGCACCTTGACCTTTTTCTGCCTACCCGTTGCCAGGTTCTTCCTCGACAACACCACCGTCTGATTTCAAGCCCATATCACGCCCGTGACGCTCCCTCGATTGCTGCGCATGCGTTTTGCCCGAGAAATCCTGGCCGGTGCTAGAAGCACCCCTTCCCGACCCTCTTGAAGCGATTGCCGTCGGCGCAGCCCAGGAATATGACCCCCTGCCGGTGACTTCATCCACACAGAGCTCCATCGGTCCGCAGCCAGACTGACTGACAATCGGAGCTGCTTTTTTTTTCCTCTGCCCTGCGTTTGATATATATCTCGTCTTGTTTCTCGCCGGGGATACTTTGTCCTTCCCCTCCGCCATCATGGCCTCAAGCTTTGCTGAGGCACCTGCATCTTTGCAAAGTCACCTCTCTGAACCCCGCAATACTCAACCTTCAGCCGGGAACGGGACCCAACACACCCCGTCCTGCGGAACCGATCCCTTCACCTTGTCGCATCGTCGAGACGAAGCCGTGTCTCCCCCCGTCGAGCATATCGAGACACCTGCTGGTTCGATTGCGACTCTGAGCCACTATCAGTCTAGCGACTTTAGCGACCTCGACGACGACCCATTCTTTGGCGCCGACTTCAACGCCATTGACCCGGCGACGCCCTCCTTTTTGGATGAGGTCGCGTGGGATCAGACTACTTCCTTTGCGAACCATTCTACCATATCTGAGTCTCGCCATGGATCAGTAGATGGCTCTCCGTATCCTCTGACGCCCACACACACAGCCTCTGTCCACACGACGCCACCTACAAGTGATCGGAAGGACCTTGGTATAGTCGTAACTTCCGAGACGATACCCGACTCAATCTCACCACAACAGCTCCGGCGACCGCTCAAGCCAAATCCCATCCTTGTCGGCTCATCAACGCTTACCCCAAGTTACAGCGGTAGTAATCGGACAAGCGAGGACGGTCTTGCCCCGGCTCCTGCCGCCATGTATCCCCAGAGTCCAAGAGTGACCATCTCAGTTTGGGACAAGGATGATGACGCTCCCATCCATACTGTTGAGCGCACGTTGGAAGACAGTCCCGGAACGGTTCGCGGGGGCATCCACTCCGCGGGTGACCTCATATCTACCGTTCATGCTCAAGGCTTCATCACTGGTCACAGGGATTCCTTGGATCGCTGGCAACAGGAGTCCGGATCCAGACGAGCGGGCCTTGATCCCAGCAGTCGTCCTCCTGACGAAATACCCAGTATCAATGAAATTGTTTCTCAAAGAAGAAGCGACGAACGCAATCGAGAAGTCGGGCGGTGGTTATCAGATAATCCTGATAATATGTCCGCTCCAATGGAGAAATCTGCGGACGAACTACGAGCCATTGACCGCAAAACACACCAGGATGATGAGATTCTTTTCGGACATCACACTCAAAACCAGTTCAAGGAAGGGTCGACTATTCTTGGTGGCAGTGGAGGGGAGATGTCTGATGTGGATCGAAAGATTCTTCTGGCCGGCCGAAATTTTGGAGACGCACCTATACTCCATGAAATTCAAATGGGCGAGCCTGGAAGATTCCAACCAGAATCATCACAGGCCGCCATTGCCAAGTTTGAGAGCATGTGCCGAGACAATGATTCCATCATCTCGAGATCTGCAACCTGGGGCACTCGCCGACGGAGCTTTCCAAGCGTTGTTGACGTCGAAGGCGTAACGAGCGGGAATTTTCTGAAGAAGCTGTCTATTAGCCGCGGTAACGGAGAGAAGACCAGCAGACCAGGTAGCTTCCTCAGGGATCTTCGAGGCCTCGTAAGACGTACCAGCGCCAACCAACTTCGCAAACGATCGCGGAGCCGTTCTGATGGTCGCTCGGGCAGCCAGGCGGAGACATCATCTCACGACGGAGCGGGACAGCATATCAAACGCGAAACCACACCGCACTTGTCGCCCCCATTAGGATCAGCCGGTAGCGGCAAGAAACAAAGCCCTAGCATCAATACAACTCTGGCATCCATGGGCCAAAATTTTGCATCCATATGGACGGGTCATGCTAGAAGTGGCTCTGTCAGTGGACCGTCTCCGATGGGCTCACCCAGAGCATCTCTCAATAGTCTTAGCGTTAAGAATTCACTGAGAAGACCTCGGAGTAAATCTGAGATTCCCAAGTCCACAGGTGGTACACCTGACATGGAAAGCACATCAAGTCTCGTCGACATGTGGCGCAAGTCTGGTGGCCCCCCAGTAGCTCCCGTCCGCAGAGTCAACCAGGTCCACGCTGTCGATGACGATGACGACGACGACGACGACGAGCTCTGTGAAGATAATGATATGAAGGCGAACCCGAATCTCATTGACGAAATTACGCCAAACTTGGCTGGATTTCAACAACATGTGATAACGTTGAATCCGGCATTGGGGGACACACATGGCTATCTAGTGGAACGCATTGCTCACCAGCAGGTTGCCAGATACAAGTCGTTGCTCAACGCTAAAGTTAAGCACTTGGGCCTGGGCGCTAATTGTCCTTGCGGCTCCTTGTGCGTGACACTGGGCGGAACCGCAAATCTTCTTGGTCAAAAGGGTGATACCAAGGCGCCAGATTCTTTATCAGCGGAGGAGGGCATGCCAACAGAGGGCACGATCAATAAAGAAAGCTTCCCGCAAGACATTCCCATGCCGCCCACTCAGTATCTACCCGCCGAGTTCGAGTGTCGGCTTTGCTATCAGAGCAAGAAGTTCCAGAAACCATCCGACTGGACAAAGCATGTGCACGAGGATGTACAACCATTTACGTGTACTTGGG